GCGTGGGGGCAGGTCTCAGCAGCTCAGCACACAGGGATGAAGGAAAGCACCCATCAGAGAAGGAAGAGAAAACCCAGGACAGCGCATTGTCCTAAAAGCAACTGAGGGGAGAACTTTCAAAAAGGAAAAGGTGGCTGGCAGCCCTTTCCCCAAGAATCATTGGTTGGTCCACCATCTTGGGCCCCCCACTAGGACTGGAGTGAGCTGAACTGGGAGTCCATCTCAGGGTCATGAAAGTGCACTGTTGCTCCTGAGAGTCGGGCTTCCTAAACTGTGTCCTCAGGGTCTCACTTGATCCAACTTAGTGCCAGCCTTGCTGGACCTAGCAATGTGCTTGAAGTTTGGGGAATAGTAGTTGCTAAGGCACTATCTCTGCCTTCAAGAATGCCCGGATCTAATGGGCAGACAGACCTGTATCCAGTGATTAATGCTGAAGATGAGCCCCAGCAGGAGTGAGCATAAGAGTCTGCTAGGATCAGACATGGAGCATCCCCATCAGATCATGGGCTCGGAAAACGGAATGAGAATAAGGAGGGAAGAAAAGAATTCCAGGCAACGGAACAACACCTTCCAAGAAGGAAGGTTTGGAGGGACATAAAGTTCTGTGAAATGATGAAGCGTGGTAACCAGAAGTGAGAAAAAGTTGGTAGTAAACAAGATGAGGAACGCAGGCTCTCGTTATTCATGCTCATGCTCCTCTGGTCTGGAGCGCCATCTTTATTTCTGCCATTATCTCAGTATCTGGGGGCATTTTCCCTTGGAAACAATGCAAATTAATTGGGAGGCTCATCAATCTGCTGGTTCTGCCTGGTTCTGGCCTCTAAGAGAACAGGGAGGAGCCTCCGCAGAGCATTCGCTGCTCGGTCAGATGTATTTTTAGCTCCTGCAGAAAATAACGACAGTGTGCATTTAATAAAAAAAAGAAAGAAAGAAAGAAAGAAAGAATGAAGCCCTGGGAATGATCTAGTGCCAGTGTTGGAGCCATCAGGATGGAATATGTTTCCAATTGAATTACTACTGTGGTCATAGTTATAAAAAGAGAGAGGGAGGAGAAAAAATGTGAGGCTGGTCAGTTTCTCGGGAGCATTTAATCTTGGTTTGCTCTAATTTTAACATTCAAAGGCACATGAGCCAACTCTGCCCTTAGGAGCTATTTCAGGGGGACTGGCCAGCACCCGCGACTTGCAGTCAACCCTGGGTGGCTCTAGTGCCTGAAGTTGTCTTTTCTTTTTTTTTTTTTTCTCCCCCCAACGCAGTTTGCCCTCCACTAGTTCTTTGCTCTCAAGCTGATGAGACACAGTGTGAATATGACGACGAGGGTAAATTTAGATTCTGACAATACTGGAGGATGTGGACTAGGGTCTGGGACTCAGAGAGAGCTGGGGAGAACTCGGCATCAAGAGCCTCAGGATGGTGGCACTGCGTTTCCCTGCTGCTTCCAGATAAGAAGCCTCCGTGGATCAGCTGCCAAGGGCGGCTCCTCCCAACCGAATCACACTCCACCTTCCAGCACAGTCTCCCTCCTCTGTTTCTTCCCACACTTCATCATATCCCTTTAAAAAAATGGGAAAAAAAGTCACCATAATTAGCTGCCACCTATTGAGTGCCTACTTTATGCCAGACACTTGCTGAGCAATTGCAGGAGTTATGTCGATTTATCCTTGGACTGGCAATAGAAACCATGGGCCAGCTATGTTGGGTGAGGAGTCTCAGAAAGCATAAGTCACTTTCCCAAGGTCACCCAGATATTCAGTGGCAGAAGCTGGATTCTGGACCACTGAAGCCCACCCACCCATTGCATGACCCTGAGCCCCCAATGTGGGCTCACCGTTTGAAACACTGGTCTGCACACCCCTTATCTCCCGCTGTGGCCCCTCTCCCTGTCATGCCTTCCCACACGGTTCCCTAGGGTCCAGTCCTGGAATGTCTTTGTTTTTGCTTACAGCTATGACAGCATGTTACTGTTAATATTAGTGATGATAACTAGGACACTTTCCATTCTTGTTGCATGCCAGGCATTGCTAAAAAGCCTTATGGGTATTCTCTGATTTCATGTTCTCCACATTCTTCTAAGGTAGTACTATTATGAAATGCACTTTACAGAAGAAAGACTGATACATAAAATGATTAAATGACTTGCCCAACATACAGAGCTGTCTAGTGATAGAACTGGAAAAATGTCCATCACTCATGGAGCCATGACTCTGAAACAGGCACTGGATTTAACCTAGATAAGGATCATTGCCCTTGATCCTCATGGAAATTGTGAGGCAGGATTATCAACCCTGCTTTACAGACCAGAAGAATGAGCCTCCGTGGAAGTTTTGGGTAACTTGACCAAGGTCACAGAGCCAAGATGGCAACACAGGCATGAGAAATTTCCAAGCCCTCTGCCTTCATGGACTTTGCTATTAGTTGCTTGCTATCCATCTTCTCAAAGAATCATCACTCCTAGAGAGAACTGAAACTCCATGCTTTATTCACGTCCACTTGCCAGCACTCCCACAGCATTGTGGCACGCAATGGGCATTGAGCAAATGTTGGATGAAAGCCTGAACAGAGGGCGTTAGTAACCTGTCTCGATGGATATGTTGAAATGAACTAGGAAGGGACAGCAGAGGAGGCATGCTAGCAAGGGACATTCTCAGGGTTGGAACACTCCCAGCGTGCACAACTCTCACTGGCTGTCTGGCCTGTCGGATCAAATCAAACTCATGTGAAGGATTTCCCTGGCATGGATGGCCTCCTGTTGGGGAAGAGGTCTATCCCTGTCCCACAGGCCCCTCCTTGCTATCCCCTGACCCTCTCTGAGCTGGACCAGCTTTTCCGCTGGGCAGCTGATGATAATGATCATGCTCTGTTGGCTCTCCCTGGAATCCAGCTGTCCTTACTGATGTCCTTACTGGTGTCCTTACACACTGCTACTCTGCATCATGCCCAAGGTCAGAAAGTCATTAAGTCTTTTAGAAATAAAAAGTTAAAGTCCTAAAAGTAAGATTTCCCTGGGGCTCTCCAGATAAGCCAATAGAAGTAGAATC